CCTGTCTTGACAAAAAGTCTTCTCTTTTCGATCGCCTAGAACAAGCAGCTGATCTTGAATCAGATCTCACTTCAGTAATAGATTGGGGTTCACAGTGGCTTGTGAATTTCAACTCTAACAAAACCCAATTATTTACTGCAAACAACTACCGTAATATGGTCAACATTCCTATATTAATGAATGGCAATCCTCTTACTGAGTCGTCCTCTTTACGTCTTCTTGGATTATCGCTTACTACTGACCTTTCATGGAAACCATATATACAATCGATTGCTAAATTAGCTTCTGCTAAGGTTGCTTCTCTTTATCGTGCTCGCCATTTTCTTACTTCCGATTCCATTCTCTACCTCTACAAATCTCTTATTCGTCCCTGTATGGAATACTGTTGTCATATTTGGGTTGGTTTTTCTAACAATTCACTTTCTCTTCTTGACAAGGTCCAAAAACGCATTGTAAATGTTGTTGGACCTGGACTATCTGCTAAGCTTGAGCCTCTTTTCTATCGTCGTAAAGTTGCATCTCTTTCTCTTTTCTACAATTACTATCATGGTCACTGCTCAAAGGAGTTATCACCTCTAGTTCCATCAACTAAAATCATTCTCGTTTTACTTGTCATTCAACTAAATCTCATTTGTTTACTGTATCTGTCCCTGCATGCTCTAAAATCTTTTATTCATCTAGTTTTTTCCCCGCACTTCAATCTTTTGGAACTCTCTCCCATCTTCATGTTTTCCTGACTCATACAATCTTTAACTTTTCAAGTCTTCTGTCAACCGTTTCCTTGCTCTATAACTCTGTTCTTTTTTTTCCTAGTAACTCCCAACTTAATAGTGGTTGCTTGCAGCCTTGTTGGGAGTGAATGCAAATAAATAAAAAAAAATGGTATTAAATTTCATTTGTATGAAGTAAAGAGTAACTTGAAAAATTGTATTATATAAAGATTTGTGGAAAAATAAAAAATATAGGCAAAGAAATTAGTAAGTTACTAGCATCTATTTAGTTTTCATGCATATAAAAAAAAAATACAGTATTATTTTTATCTATGAGAGTCAAAAACATCCATTCCTCTCAAAAACTTAGTTTTTTGTCCAAAGAAAGGTTATACATTTACACCAAAATGTCCTTAAGCGCAAGGGTACTGCTGCATTATATTTTAGCTAAAGGCATCCTGGGAATTTGGAGGATACAGAACTCAGAACATAAAATTAGTTTTATGGTTTTTTTGAACATAAAATGCTTTTTATGGTTTTATGCGTTATATGGTATTATAATATAAATAAACTATATAGTTATCTAATCAGTATTAATTTTAGGTTCTCTAATAATGAAATATAAAAACTGCAATCCTTAAAAAACATATTGATACTAGGGGCAATCAAGGAGAAAGATATCCAAATTTTAAATTTTGATATTTTTTTAAATTTTTTAAATTATGATAATTTTATTAAAAGCTCTCATTTTAGTCTTTATTGCAAATAAAATGATTTTTAACTAAAAATTAAAAAAGTTTTCTTATTTCACAAGATTTTTTGTTTATAATTGTTTTTTTTTACAATGTTTTTTTATAAAATGGTTATTATTTTTGTAACCTTTATATAATTTTGCTTTATTTGACATCCGACAACATAGTTTTAAAAAACTTTTACTTTTTATTAATAGTGTCACATTAAATGTTCAATAGATTCGGCAAATAAAATAGTTATTAAAATTTGGTGAAAAACATTTTTTACATTTTACACAAACACCATGTATATACATATATATATATATATATATATATATATATATATATATATATATATATATATATATATATATATATATATATATATATATATATATATATATATATATATATAAAATCAGACATTCGGCAGTTCACACGTAAACTCAGATTAAAAGAAAAATTCTTTGAATTACACAATAACGATATTAGTATAGTAAAAAATAAATTGAAATATAATATTAAAACAACTCTACCTGAACTTGATTAAACAATTTCAAGAATTGAGCAAGTAAATCCAATAAAAATTCAATCAGTTGACAACATTTCAATACAAGAAAGGATTGCTTTAAAAGAACTCAAAGAAATGAAAGATATTGTTATTAAAAAAGCAGATAAAGGTAACACCTTAGTTATAATGGATTCAACCTATTATAAAGACAAACTAGTTAATCAAGATCACCTATTTTCTTTAACAACATATGAAAAAACTAATATTGACTCTGACAAAAAAGTTTTCAAAAATCTTCTAAGCCAACTTCTTCACATAATCCTATCTCCTATTGTAAAGAAACAAAAGACTTTTGTAAAAGATGACTGGGATTTTTTAAGAAAAATTCCTAGAATAATGGATTCAGATAGTGTTATATTAACTTGTGACATTGTAAATCTCTACACAAGCATTCCACATGATCTTGCTTTACAAGTATTAAAATTTTGGGTTGAAAAACATAAAAATCTAATAGCCGAAAGATTTACCACTGATTTTATTATAGA